CAGTGATTTAATAGCACTGGAAAGGTACGGACAAAAAATTATACCTGAAATTTAATTATGCAAGTTACATAATTATAGTGTAAGCTGAATTTATAGACTCACAGAGTTTTCCATGTGGACATGAGGGCACTAATTTAGAAGAACAGTGACATTGAAATTTGAAATAGAGACATTTGGATGCTCTGTGATAAAGCTGAGAATCTCAAAACCCCATCTTTCAGAATCATTCTTTTGCCAACAGGAGCGTTCCCTTTCCCTTCTCCCTGAAGTCCTTGCAAAAACTTTACCTGAGGCAATTACCTTGCAATGGGGCATTTATTCTCCTCAATACCTACCACCATCACCTCTCATTCTCCATAGCAGAGCAATCCAATAAAAGTCTCTGTGGTGATGGAATTGTTCAATATGGTAGCCACCAGCAACATGTAGCTATTGAGCACTAAAAATAAGGGCAGTCTGAACTGAGATGTGCTGAAACTGTTAAATATAATCTAGATTTCAAAGATTAAGAATGAAAAAAAGATGATATATTATTGCATTCCTTTCATGCCAATTAAATGTTGAAATTATAACATTTGAAGTTAAATATAAAATTAAAATTAATTTTATCTTTTTAAAAATGTGGCTACCAGAAAATTTAAAATTAAATGTGCGGCCTACATTATATTTCTATTGGCCAATGCTGATCTAGACCAATATCCTTCAAACTCTTGTTCATATAAATCAAGAGTGTTTTTTGTTTTTTTTTTTGAGACAGAATCTCACTCTGTTGCCCGGGCTAGAGTGCTGCGGTGTCAGCCTAGCTCACAGCAACCTCAAACTCCTGGGCTCAAGCAATCCTTCTGCCTCAGCCTCCCGAGTAGCTGGGACTACAGGCATGCACCACCATGCCCGGCTAATTTTTTATATATATATTTTTAGTTGTCCAGATCATTTCTTTATATGTTTTTGGTAGAGACAGGGTCTCGCTATTGCTCAGGCTGGTCTCGAACTCCTGAGCTCAAACAATCTGCCCGCCTCGGCCTCCCAGAGTGCTAGGATTACAGGCGTGAGCCACCATGTCCGGCCCTAAATCAAGAGATTTTGAAAACTGTACTTTCCCTCTTACAATTTTAAATTGACACCTATTTTTGAAAAAAATTCTAAATGCAAATAGCTGCAAAGGATTCAATTTCTGCGATACTCTCATTTTACAAATACTTTATAGTTTCCTCAAAATTTTGTATCATTAGTTCAGTCTATTTATAGAATATGTCTACCATATGTATAAATGGAAACACTTTAAAATTAGTTAGACTGATCAGGAATTCTTTCTGTCCAAAAAATTCAGACTTTATATTTTAATTCAAATTAGCTGATATCTTTCTATATATCATGAGTTCTATACTATGATAAACATATAGATAGAGGGATAAAATATAGGTACATGGATGGATTATAAATTGATGACAGATGACTGATAGGTACATAGAAAGATAGAAAGAAGAACAGATATATAGAGACATAGATATGTAGATACATAGATATATATAGGTACAGACATAGGCATTTCTATGAGTTTGTTACGTGGATGAAATTAGGTATACTGCTCCCTTTGAGTATTTCTCAGTGAAGATCTTTTTTGCTTTGTTCTCAAGAATTGTCCCTCTGGAGCTATGAATCTGGAATTTTCTACTCTAATTCTCTAGGGTTTTATTTACACTCAAGCATAACATATTAATATTCCAGTTGGGAAGGTAATATATACTTTTCTTTTGAAACTGAGAAAAACAATGATTAAGAGGTAAAGTGATTAATAAGAGCAAACAGATACACGTAGATCTTCAAGTCTTTGTTTTACACATGGAGCTAATGTTGAATGTGTATCTTAAAGCAAGAAGAACTATTAATTCAATGACAAGATTGAAGTACAAGTTCTAATATTTAACTTGCTATATGAAGAAACCCTCAATTATATTCATCATTCAGATTCTATAATTAAAGGAAGCATTCCCTTACAGAAGCTTGTGGAAGGATCATAACGCAACATCAAAAATGTATATTACTTTAAGATTGTAATGCTCGATCATTACGTTTTATTTTTAGTGAATTTAATTGCAATGTTTGCAAACTGATCAGTAATTATGACTGTCATTTAGTGTTTAATATTTTAGAAGAAGACCTGGTCACCTATAAATTATTCAACTACATAATCAAATATAGAATAAAATAGTTTGTAATGGTAATTCTTTTGTATTTATACATAAGACCAACACATAAGTGAAGAGAAGCATGTTTCTTGATAAGATAGTAACATTCAGCCATAATAATAGGTGTCATTTAAAGTGATCCTACTTTGTATAAGAATTTCATGTTATTATCTAGTCAGTACAACAACCTCATAATATGATATTCCGACATCTAGTGCAAGAATAACAGAAACCGTGGCTCACAGGACTCAGTGATCACATCTAAAATTGCATAGCTAGGAGTGTCAGCCAAGATTGAAACCTGTTCAATTAATTTCAACCAGTTTCAAATCTTAGGTTTTTTCCATCAATAACGTATTCATTTGGGACAATCAGAACACCAAAATTGCTTTTAAAGTTTTCAAATGTAAAGAAAAACATAAGCAATAATTATTAAAGAAAATTATAGATATTGAGAGATTAATCACCTTCGTTAATTGGGGTTTATACTAACTAGCAAAGCTCTGTGTTTATGGTTTATGCTAGCAATTGCCTTATGAAAATGGTTCCAAGGTAGTAATCTATGAAAACAAATACTTCTGAAAGTGTTTTTCAAATTATGTGCTATAACCTGTTAGTGCCTCATGAAATTGACTCAATAGAGCATGACCAGTATTTTAAAAATAAATAGATTACACAGATTAGAATGGAGAATATAGAAGTGCATTTATGTAGTAAGAAAATATGTGTAAAACTGTATTTCTGGAACTGTGTGTGTGTGTGTATGTGTGTGTGTGTGTGTTTCAACTGGGCCACAATGTAAAATATAATTCTTACTGTGGTTCATTATTAAAAATCCTTGTAAAGCAATTTTTGTAGGACAGTTTAAAATAGAGATAAACCAACAGATCAAAATGTAATGTCTACATTTAGCTATTTGATAAAAATAGCTATGAAGTGAAAGTAATTTTGTCCTCCTAAAATAATAAATTGCAGTTTTGGGGAGAAAAAGAAAAGATAAAAATTTAGCAGATTAGGTAAGATAAACAAGTAGATATGTGACAATCATGGTGAAACTTCAGATAATTCAGTAATGAGAATGATTTAAACTTACCAAAGCAGATATCTTATAGAACATAAGATACTACCACATTTTGATGACAATTATAGGAAACTGTCATGATACAAAAATATTTCTATCTCAATGCAAGATTAATAAATGTGTTTGTCCTGCACCTTATAATAGATTTGCTTCATTCCTATCTTAGTAAAATACAGATATATTAGTGTGAGATATATTTTCTTACATACACACGTTTTATAAAGTACAAAACTCTAATCTTTGCTAGCTACGTGATCTTAAACAAGTTATTTTAGAGTTTCACTTAAATGTGGATGATAAAATATCCCTCTTCCTAATAGTAGCCTTATGAGGATTAAATAATTCATAAAAGTTCTGGGGAAAAAAAGTGCTAAAAATAGTATACAGCATGCTACTGAATGTTCAACAAATGTTAGTTTATTTTCCAAGAATTTCATGAATTTTTATTTTCTCAACAACCAATAATTTACACAGAGAAGTAAAACAATATATGCTACATTGAATTGAACTGATGACACAAGCTGGGTGGATAAAACATTTCCTTTATGCAGCTGAGGGGTTTGATTTTGTGATTTCCCCATGTTTATACAGATACTTTGAGCAGAGCAGGTTTCTGATCTAGTTCTTCTGATTTATAAATCAGGGCTCTCCTATAAGGCAAATGTAATTGACCGCTGATTTTTAAACCAACTCTGCTGCTCTTAGGATTAAATTCCAAGAACTTGATAGTGATCATAGGCATTCCTGGGAGGCAGTATATACTTTATTTAATAACAATGAATTAACGCATTTCGAGTACTTACTAACTTCAAGTACTAACCAGGCCTTGTGCATTATCTTATTTCTCACGATACTGTGAAACACTTTCCCTTATTATTCACATTTCATAGATAAAGAAACTAAACCTTAGAGAGGTTAAACAACTTAAAGTTATCAGTGAATTATAAATCAGTTTTTGAATCACAACCTGACCCAATTTTATTGGCTCTACCACCTAGCTTTATTTAATCTAACCCAGAGAAGATATCATATGATCTAAGAAGCTGAGAGAAATTTTGATTTTTCCTATTTATGTCTTCTCCATTGGTATGAAAACAGAGCTTACAAGGAGAGCAGGAAAGGAAAACTAGCTAATTTTTCAGCTGCCCTTACACTCCCTGTGTTATAACTTTTCCTGAAGTACAGTGGCACATGCACATATAGATGTATTACTTATCCTAGAATTAAATAGAAAGACAATCTAACCTTTTGAAATATCCATAATGAGTTATCTATTAGTGCAGAGCACATTAAACCAACTATTACTAATAAATAACTGTGTGATCCATAGCAATAGAAAAACATTGGAATGAAAGTCAGATATGTATAGAAACATAATACGCCTGAATGATGTGTCAGGCAGAAAAGAAATCAAGCCATTATTCATAATTCCTTTTTTTTATAAAAAGAAAAATATACTTACAACTTTCAAAAATGTATCTCAGAAAACAGTCATTTATAATTTTAATGTGTTTTCATTTATATGTTAGTAACTGAGAGTAGAGTAGTATTATTTTTATTTTATTTATTGCAAATTTCTCATACAAATTTGTTTTGTAAAGGAATAAGTAAGAAATATTGCCAAATCATTCTTGAGTTATGGATTTTTCTATATTATGTTTTCCTTATGATCTCTTTGCCTTTGTCATTATGATTATGATTTTTTTTTTACCACAGATGCTTTCCCTTACCTTATTTGTATTCACTGCTGTGATGACCCAGACGCATTGGGCATTGCTGTCATACTGGAATGGAAAGTTGGGAGACGTAAAGGTACCACTTGGTCCTTGAAGATTAGAGCCACACGTCTTCACTAAAAGAGAAATTGCATTTTAAAAGATGGGCATATGCCACATGTAAAATTATAGCAAAAAAATCTTGCAAATAGACTCTAAATTCAAAATTACACAATTATAACTACATTGCAACATAGATTATGGCATTCTGATATCATTTATCAAAATTGGAATGTTTTTTTGCACCCTGAGATTCACTAGCTCAATATTTTCAACATTACCCAAAAACTAGTTATGTACAGAAGTGTGAGACATGATAAATTGTCCTGTGACTATAAATAGGTTAGTTTAATTATAGACAGATATATTTACCCATTATTGTGTTAACAAAAATCTGCAAAGAGAGTAAAGCAAAGCCTTGGGATAATTAAGCAATCTAAAAAGTGTTTTGATTTCAATTTATTAAGTACCCTAGGACCCATAATAGCACAATTGAGAGATATCAATATTAAAACTACTTTCTGGTCTTTTAACTGTGAATTAGACCACTAAGAATATAAAAAAGAGCTACATTTAAATTATTGTAATGAATTCCCACAAAAGTTAAAAGTTGTAATATTTCCTTGGTTTTTAACCCTTCTTTTTTCTACTTAATAAAAGAACTAGTTGACCATACCGCTTCTGTTTCTTAACTTCTTTCTTGACCAACACACAGTTCCTTGGTGCTATTAAGTTTGATTTGCATTTCTTTGCCCCATTCCATTAAAATCCTTCCCATGTTATTCTATTCTAATCCATCAATAATAATCTATTGCATTTTTAAAATAATGTACAGTTATATATATATTTCCATATGCACTTAAGTCTTTTTTTAAATTTTTTTAGAGATGGGGTCTTGCTCTGTTACCCAGACTGGAGTACAGAGGCACAATCATAGCTCACTGCAGTTTTGAACTCATGGGCTCAAGTTATCCTCCTGCCTCAGCTTCCTGAGTAGCTGGGACTACAGGTGCCCAGCTTTGCACTTAAGTCTTTACACAGTTATTATCATCACTACTTTGAATATCAGTTTATGGAGGTCCCAAAAGTTTGCCTGACTTGGCCAAGATCATTCTGCTAGTATATAGCATAATCAGGATTTGAGCTCAGGTTTCTGACTACAAGTCTTTTTGTCACTAAAAGTGTGTCTTTCTAATATGTTAAATATAGATTTCTTTATTAGTTTCTACCCTTTAGTCATATTTTAGCACAAATCTATTCCAGACATCATTCCTTCAACTTCAAGGTTATATTTTGTGGTGATTTAATAGTTACAGTAATTTTTATTTTGTGTGTACATGATTTCTATATTTGAACAATAAAACCTTATTATTTTGCATATGGACAAAAATAGTAATTTTTTCCTTCAACATTACTTACCATTCAATGATTTTTTTTCCCATTTACTACCTAGCTTCCTATAAATCTTCTAAGCTCACTACTCCATTTTCTTCTCCCTCATTCACTCTTGAAAGTATTTCAGTCTGACTCTTACCCTCATTTCGGTGTTGAAATTGCTTTCTCAATGTCAGCGATGACCTCCTAATTGCTAAATCTAATAGCATCTCTTCATTTTTTTTCCACACCCTAGATATCTCAGCAGTAAGGTATTTGTAAGCTTTATTTGAAATTTTTTGCCTTCTCTTACATAGTACTAAATTCTCTTAATTGTTTGCCTGTATGTTTTAAATAGTTCTGCTCTACCATATTCTTTGTTATGGTTCCATTTTTTCCATCTGACCCTTAAATGGCATAATTCTAAATTGATTTCATAGCCTCTTTTCTATTTGTTCAATTGTCTCTCCAAATAGACTAATTCATTTCTATGACTTGAATGGTCATTTCTGTGTTGATAGCTCTCAAATGTACATCACCTACTTTGGCATTTCTCTTGATTTCTTGATTAATTTTCTGTGTGCTGGACATTCTATGAGATGTTTTTAGGAAGCTTTCAATTAAACATTTCTTAACTGGTCCATCCGCTTCCCTGTCATACGTAAATATTCCTCAAGATCTATGTATTACTCTGAAACATCTCTATTTTCCTTCTTTTCTTCTCATCCCAGTGCCTACTGCTTCTTCATTATTTTTCCTGTACTGGCAATGTCTACTTAACTTCTTTTCTAGACTCCATTTTCTCTCCTTTTCCATTCTCCTTAATACTATTACATTTATCTTTCCAAAATATACAGTTGATTACTTCACCTAACTCCATGAACATTTCATATCTATTTTCTATAGGATAAATTACAAACTACCTAATACAGAATATAAAATTATCCCCATGAGGACTTAAATTTCTTTTCCTTAACGATGTCCCACCATTTTACATAGTCATACACTTTCCTTGTGCCGGAACAGACTTCTTGCTCTTCCTTCAGTGTACCATACTCTTATAATTTTCCACATTTTTCATGCTGTTCCCCAAAACTAGAATATTATTCCTTCTTACATTTACCTGCAAAAAATTTTATTTATTTAAACAAAGCCAAGCTGATGTGTTACTTTTTTCTGCAATAAGGGTTCCTAATTTCTCCACTTTGGGTTCTGTAGTAGATTGTATTGTTCATAGCTCATTAGTTACATGGTGCATCTATAAAAGTGTTTAAGTGCTTGCTAGTGAACTGATAGAGAATGCAGTTATAAATACTCCAAGAACTGTATAGCAATGAGAATTTTATAGTAATCACAACATGATTGGTTTGAAGTTAGTAGATACAGCTTTCTGACAGGGCATACTGCTTTTCTGAGTGGTATTAATGCTTACTACTTAGTAATGCTCTGGCATGCTTTGTTACCTACAATATATACACGCTCATAGTCTTTTGAGGATAAAGCCTTGTTTATCATCTCTGTTAACTGCTAGTGTAGTGGCTTTCATGATGTAGGCATGTTTGCTAAAGAAATCAATAACCAACTTCTTTATAAGAGTTGATGCGGCTCTTTAATGGACTGTAAAATAAGTGCTTTCTTCAGGCTGATAAGGAATCCTTATAAATATGTTTCGGACTGGGAAATTGTCTTGAAAATATTTTTGTTTTTCTATAAAATGAGGAAACATTCATAAAATGATAAGTAAAAATCTGTAATATTTTGTAATATTTTGGTTTTCTTGTCTGCTTCCATCCAAACCTGACAGTAATCACTTAACCAATTAGGTTGTACACCTGCAGACATTTTATTTTTATGTGTATGTGTTTTTACACGTTTCTTGTTTTTTTGTGTTTGTGTGTTTTAAGAAACTGAGCTAATCCTATATCTATTCTTCTGAAAATTTTCATTCCTATATGAGGACTGTTCTGTATAAGTACATATAAATTTATTTCATAGATTTAATAGTCCCAACAGTAGCTGATAGAAGTATTGCAAATTGTTTACAGCCTTCTGCTATGAAAATAGCACATGATGATTAGAAAATTTCCTTAATCCTAGGTTAGGGAATGAGAGGACATATAGAAAGGACCTGCTATTTCAGCAAAGTTGCAGCACTTCACCCATAGCAACCAACATACAATGTAATTGACTAGAAAAATTACTTACTGTTGTAAGCCACTGAGATTTTGCAGTTGTTTTTTTTTTCCATATTAGTAAAGGTTTGTTTTTAGCTTTCTAGCTATAAAACATATGAATGAAGAGTTTGTTGTCTATAACTTTATACTTGCACTATTATTTGTGCTTTATACTTGTGTTATTGTATGAATTCTTAGAAGAAAGATTACTTAGTCATGATATATGAGCATTTTAAAATTTGATAAATATGCTTAAATTACTCTCCAGAAGTTTGTTCAGTATACTTTCAAAAACAGTATAAGAAAGAAAAGAGCTCCCCACACTCTCACCAAAATAATAACATCAATGATTGCGCTTTTGTCATTCTGTGAAAGATGTCAATGTTTTAATTTCCTATTCTCTGTCTACATTTTTAGCATGATTTAACAGAAGTTTTCATTGTTGTCTCTATTTCTTTTGCTGTGATATTTTTATTTGTACACTTTTCCTGGTTTTAATTGTTCTTTCCTTATTGATTTATAGGAGCTTACTGTAAATTATCAATATTAATCATTTTTATGTGTACTGCAAATATTTTCCTATGGTCTTTTATTGTTTTAATTTTTATTTGAATTTATTTTTCTCTGCAAGCTATTTTTAATGTTTGTAAATCTGTCAGTATTTTCTTTTAGGTCCTCTGTTTTATGTCTTGCTTAGGAAAGGTTTCCTTAAACCTAAGGTTAAAATATCATCTTTATTTATTACTTATACTTTCATAGTTCTATTATTTCACATTTAAAATGTTTAATGATCTGCAAATTATTTTTGTATAGTGGAGGTAAAGGAGCATTAGTAGTAAATTCTCTTATTTCTCAGCAATTAAAATTGCCATTTATATTATATCATATTT